TGTCTCTCTGTCTCTCTCTGTCTGTCTGGCGAGCGCACACGCCCTATAGCATAAACCTCTAAAAAAAAAAAAAAAAAAAAAAGACACATTCTTTAAATCTGAGTTGATAATACTATTGATTGTAATATTACCGAAGGCCAGGGGTTTTTCTGTAAAGGGTCAGACGGGTTTTGTTTGTTTTAAGTTTATTTATTAATTTTTCATAAGAGTGAGATAAGGAGAGACAAGCACCAATAGGATCTTTGTGCTGTGATCCACCCCATGTCAGCTGGCCTGGTTCATGGGCACTTGCACACTGTGTGCTCAGGGAGGTCCTAGGACACAAACCCAGGACCTTTCCAGTATGGGTCTGGTTGCATTATAGCTGCACCTTCACCTGGCCCCCCAGACAATAACTATTAAAAGTTTTGTGGGTGATACGTTCTCTGTAACAACTGTCTGGTCTGCCATCATAGGGCAGAAGATACCATAAACAGCAGGTAAAACAAAGAAAAGTGGCTGTGTTCCAAGAAAACTTTATTTACAGCTCCCCTTCTCCCCGTACTATACCAGGCAAGGTTAGTGGCTATTGAAAATGCCACCAGGACAGGGCTATCTAAAGACACATTCAGTAGTGTATTAGCTAAACAAAAAAGACACTGTACAGTTTAAAAACAAAACTTACACAGCTTTATATTTCAATTTTTTTTTAAAGGAATGAATTGTATACAAGATGATTAAATGTTTTATAGACAAGGAAAAAAACCTGCTAGAACCAGTTTATTCATCATCATCATTTTCTTCATCTTCTTCCTCTTCCTCATCTTTTTTATCTGTCTTTTCCTTCTTTTCAGCCTTGACAACTTCCTTTTTTGTTGCATCAGGCTTCCTTTTAGCTTGGTATGCACCAATATCCTTTTTGTATTTTTCATTCAGTTTAGCAGCCTTCTTTTCCTAAGGCTGTTTATCATCTGCAGCAGTGTTATTCAACATCTCTCCCAATTTCTTTGCAACATAACCAGCGAATAGGCCAAGATACTCTCCTGTGATTTTTGGGTGATATTCCGAACAGAACAAGAAAAAAGGCCAAAGGAAGTCTCTTGGGAGCACTGGGATCCTTGAACTTCTTTTTTATTTCTACTTTAGGAGGAATATAGGTTTTCATTTCTTTTTCTTTTTTTTTCTCTGGGAGAAGTTTTTGCTATAGAGTGTGTGTGCTCGTCAGAGAGACAGAGAGAGACAGAGAGACAGAAAGTGAGAAATCACCCCCCAGGGAGGATGGCCACACCACAATCCCTTCTCCTCCATTCTCCTCTTGGGATCTTGGGCACGCATGCACATGCGCCTGGCGTGAGTTTAAGCAACTGAGTCCGGGAGTCGAACTGTGGTCGACTACATGGAAGTCCAGCGACATAGCCAGTACACTAACTGCTGGTCCCCCTCTTGGTTTCTTAAAATCTTTTACTTACGTTTTTTGTTTTGGTTTTTGTTTTTTTTGGAGAGGTTTTTGCTATAGGGCACATGTGCTCGCCAGAAAGACAGAGAGATAGAAAGCGAGAAATCACCCCTCAGGGGGGATGGCCATGCCGCAATCCCTTCTCCTCCATTGTCCTCTCGGGAGCTTGGTGATGCACATACATGCACTCAGCATGAGTTTAAGCCACCTGGTCTGGGACTCAAACCATGGTCGACTACATGGGAGTTCAGTGACATAGCCATTACGCTAACTTCTGGTCCCTCTTTTACCTATGTTTAGTTGTCTTTTCCTCTGCGAGGCAGAGTTGCCCAATACCCATCTAGCTTTCAATTACCCTGGTGCTGTCTCTCGCCAGTGTGATATTCAAGCCACCGAGTCTGGGACTTGAACCATGTATGGGGCCATGTGGGATCCAGTGCCTTAACTTCCATGCCACCTGCTGACCCTAAAGGTGGACATATTGGGGAGCTGGATAGCCATTTGGAGAAACATAACATTGGACAATAGCACATACCATACCCAAATGATAGAGATCTAAATGTAAAACTTGAAGCCATAGACATACTAGGATAATATATGACCCCAGGTTCTGTGGCGCATTTGGTAGTATACCACTATGCAGAGGTGGAAGCCACAGGCTGACCATGGTTTGAGTCTCTGGCTTAGTTGGTCTGAAAATATGCTGGGTGTGTATGCATGTGCCCAGACTCCTGGCAGACTGGAGGAGCACTGGAGGAAGGGGATTGTGTCATAACCAAGCCCTAGGGAGAGTATCTCTCTCTCTCTGCCTCTCTCCAGCAAGTGCACATGCCCTCTGGCAAAATATAAGATAAAAACGTTTTCTGAAATCTATGCATAGTTTTTTCATAACATGCCTTTCCATGAATTTTTAAAGGCATTCTCCCTTATACATTCTCTATAACTGCTATTTCACATACTGTCTTCTACATTTGGAAGCCTTATAGACTAAATGACTTTTTTTTTTTTTGAGAGATTTTTGCTATAGGACATGTGCACTTGCCAGAGAGACAGAGACAGAAAGCAAGAAATTGCCCCCCCAGGGAAGATGGCCATACCACAATCCCTTCTCCTCTAGTCTCCTCTTGGGATTTTGGGCATGCATGCACACACGCCTGGGGGGCGTTTGAAGCTGTCAGGTCCGGGACTGGAACTGCAGTCAGCCATGTGGAAGTCCAGCAACATAACCATTATGCCATCTGCTGGTCCCTAGACTAAATGGCTTTTTGTCTTTAACCCAGTCCCTTTTTAAATAAAGCCATAATGGGATTTTCACATACATCATAAAGACCATTATCTCCAAGTGGAACAAAGAGTTGTGGACTGTATGTATTAGTTAGTGTGTCTGTGGCTTAGATGATTTTAGAAAAATGGAAAGGCTAGTATAATTGAAGCTGTTCACAGAGCACAATGCTTACTTGAACATTTCTTTCCTTTTTTTTTTTTTTTAAAGGTTTTTGCTATAAGAGAAACAAAGAGAGACAGTGAGAGGGAAAGTGAGAAATCACCCCGTAGGGAAGATGGATCATGCTGCATTCCCTTCTCCATTCCCCTCCTGGGACCCTGGGCATGCATGCACTGCACCCAGAGTGATTTTCAAGTCATCAGGTCTGGGACTTGAACTGCAGTTGGCCATGTGGGAGTCTAGCACCTTAACCACTGTATCACCTGCTGCCCCGACCCCCTCTTGAAAGGTTCCTAATCTGACACATAGAAGATGTTTTTTGGTGTGGATTTTCTGGATTGCAGTAGAAAAAGTAGTGTGTAAAAACAGAATATAAAGGAATTTTTAGTCCAAAACCAATGGTTGTACATACGTCATCCATTACAGCTGTGACAGTAGACACTTTGTCCTAAGACAAGACAGAATAGCCCAGCAGCCCCACCATGCTACTCTAACTGAAAACTTTTCTTCCAGCAGAATCAAAGCCAGAAATCTACCCTTGTTTCTCCTGCCCTCTAGCTTTTGCCTGTCTTGCACCTCCTTGCCCAGTATGTTCTTCAGCCCTTCCTGGGCTTATGTGCAGAAAAATCACTTCCATCCAGGGAATTTCAGGCCAGGGCAGTGGAAGCAATAGAAGCAGCAGTGTTTTCGTCAGAGCTGCTGGAATAGAAGCACAGAAGGTCATGGGAAAAAAGATGGCTCCAAACCCTTGTCTGCAAGGATGGACGAGAGTAAGATCTCAAGGGCATTCTCCAGGCCTGTCCAAGGACAGTTAGCATGTCCTAGAGAAGGCAACATAGTGGTGGGAATAAAGCCTCCCTCCAGTCCAGAGGGGAGGTCTTGTGCACACAGACCAATGTCTAAAGGAATTAAAAACCTTGAGACTTGGAGCAGTGGACTATGGAGTGGGCAAATCAGACCGTGGCCTGAAATCCGACTACATTACAGATTCAAGGACCCCTTAGGGAAGAAGCTGTTTGTTTGCAATACTTGGCGGGCAAGCCTACAAAGATAAGTCAACCCTAATCAGACACCATCAGACACACTCGATGGAGAAGCCAGATGTGTGCAGCGAGTGTAGCCAGGGCTTTGGCCAAATGTCCATCCTACTAACCATCAGGGGATACACTCAGGAGAGAAGCCATGTGAGTGCAGGGAGTACGGGCAAGGCTTTAACCAGAAGTGCAAACTCAGTAGACACCAGACGACACAGTCAGGAGAGATGCCTTATTTGTGCAGTGAGTGTGGGCAATGCTTTAGAAATAAGTCCATCCTCTTCAGACATCAGGAGACTCACTCAGGGGGGAGGCCCGCCCGATGTTTGCAGGGAGTGTGAGTAAGGCTTCGGTGAGAGGTCATCCTACATCAGACACCAGAGGACACCCTCAGGGAAGAAATCTTATGTGTGCCTGGCACATGGACGAGGCTTCAGTGAAAAGTCAACCCTCAGAACACGTCAGAGGACACGCTCAGGAGAGAAGCCTTGTATTTGCAGGCAGTGTGGGCAAGGCTTTGGCCAGAATTCAGACCTCGTCAGATACCAGAGGACACACTCAGATGAGAAGCCTTACATCAGCGGAGAGTGTAGGTGAGGCTTTTGTGCCAAGTCCACCCTCATCATACACGAGTAGACTCGCTCAGGAGAGAGCCCTTACCTGTGCAGGGACTGGCTGAGGCTTTTGCTGGAAATCACTCCTCAAACACTAGAGGACATATTCGGAGGAGAAGTGTTACGTCTGCAGAGTGTGGGTGAAGTTTTAGCCAGAAGTCAAATCTCACCAGACACCAGAGGACACACTCAGATGAGAAGCCCTGTATTTGCAGAATGTATGTGTGAGACTTTTGTGACAAGTCGACCCTTATCATGCATGAGTGGACACACTTGGGAGAGAAACTTTACTGATGCAGTGAGTGTGGCCAGGGCTGCAGCTGGAAGTCACTCCTCCTCATACACCAGCGGACACACTCAGGGGAAAAGCATTATGTTTGTTGGGAATGTGGGTGAGGTTTTGGCCACAAGTCAGATCTTAGAAGACACCAGAGGAAACATCGAAGGGAGAAGTTGTGTGTTTGTAGGGATCAGGGCAAGACTGACCACCTAGTCAGAGCTCGTCTTGAACTGAGAGACACGCTGGGCATGCTGTCTGTGTGTGTCAAATATGACTGGGGTTTCAGGGGTGTGCCCACACTTTTCAGGAACCGAAGTGCACATTTAGGAGATGTGTTCTGAACGTGCTTTCTGGGTGAAGAGTGTGAGGAACTCAGTAGCCATATGTCAACCCTGACTGTACAGGAGGGCACAGTGGGGAAGAGCTTTGTGTGCGTAGGAACTGTGGGTAAGTCTTCGGCAGTAAGTCAGCAGTTACCGAACATGAATGACAGACTCGGGTGAGGGGTGCAGGGAAGCGCCATGTGTTCAGGGACTGTTGGAGAGCATCAGCAAAGGGTCACACGTTCAGGGAGGGGGGAATGTTACATTTAGGGAGTGTCACCGAGCATCAGCAGAGGAGCTGTCAGGCATAAGCTGGCACACTCAGGATGGCACTGTTTATGGGCAGGGAATATGGGCCAGGCTCTCGTGGTCACACACTCCAAGAAGGGTCCACATGTGGACGCTGTGGAGCTCTGCCCACATTGCCTTTTGGGGCTAATACCCCAGCTGCTGAGAGGACTGTGCTGCTGCCTCACAGATGCCTTCGTCACCAAGACTGCCCTAGCCACAGGACCCACGTAATCCAAGGCCATGCACCTTTCTAGGGGCTGGCTCTGGGCCAGTGGCCGGTTGATAGGAAAAACTCTACCCCTCAACTCAACTAGGACAACTCCAAAGGGTCATCCCAGATCCAGAGGTCCCCCTTGGACTGAATGATATCTCTATTACAGACTTATTGCACATCAGCCTCTTTCTTTGCCCAGTGCGGTCCTCACTCCCCAGCGAACCCTTGTGTCTCCATCTCATTGTCTCTCCAGAGAGTCTGAGATATACTAGGTGTATAAGGACTATGGATGAGGCTTTGACCATACGTCATCCCTCAGCAAATTCTAGAATATACAAAGTAGAAGCTCCTGTGAGTAGGGAGAGTGGGCAAGGACCTAGAAAAGGTACACCTCATCAGAGAACAGCTTTTTCTGGGAGAAGATTTACCAGGGTAGGGAGGGAGACTCTGAAATATATTAGCAATAAGTTAAACCTCATCTCACACCAGAGGACACACTTAGGGAGACCTGTATGGACAGGGCCTCTGGATGGAACTTGAATCCAGTGTCTCTCCTCAACAGATGAGAAGGCAGAATCTTTCCTCCATAAATCACTACCTCAGTCAGCTTGGAGGTGGCTTCAGGAGAAGTCCTGCCCCTCTGCCCGAGAGTAAACAAGTCATTTCCCCCCACTTTTTGTAACCAGATGGAATAAAAAAAAGTAGGATTTATTTAAATAATCTAAGTATGGTCATCTTGGGGGACTAGCAAGTGGTGTAGTGGTTAAGATGCTGGACTTCCACCTGGTCAACCACAGTTTGAGTCCTGGACCTAGTGGCTTGAAACTTACACCAGGTGTGTATGCATGCATGCCCAAGATCTCAAGAGGAAAACGGAGAAGAGATTGTGGTGTGGCCATACCCCGGAGGGTGATATCTTGCTTTCTGTTTGTCTCTCTGGTGAGCACATGCACCCTATAGCAAAAACAAAACAAAACAAAAAAACAAAACAAAACAAAACAACACGTTCTCAAAAACAAAATGTGGTCGACTTGTTTTATTTTTCTATTTATTATTCTTTATTTTTTCTTTATTAATTATAGACTAGAACATGTGCACGTGAAAGTGAGAGAGAGGCGAGCACCCTCCATGGGGTCTGCTCACGCCATGATCCCATGCCCCCCGGTCTTTCAGCCCATGGGATCTTGGCATTTACACATGTGGCCTGCGTGTTTCCAGGTGACGTGGCTGGAGATCTGGACCACAGTGGCTACCAGGATCCAGCTTTGGAACAAAGCATTAGCACTGTATCACAGAGCCGCACCTGTTTTACTTTTATATACCAGTCCTTTCTCATGTTTCCTTATATTTTTGTTCCAGTCAAAATTTCTTTAAGCTCAGGCTGTGTACTTTAGTCACTCATCTGACTAGAAAGGCACAGGGAGTTCAAATGAACAATCCTTATTGTCTGCTTGAATTCAGCCCTTGAGAATCAAGTTTTCTTGGAGAATCTGATCCTTTTTATGAGAGGAAGAGATTAGTTTCTTGGGATAAGCCAGCCATAGTGAGCGAATTTCCCAAGTCTCCAGTGCCTGGGTTGCCTCGCCTCCCAACTGTTCATTTCCTTTAGCATCTGTGGCCACTTCCTTCCCTGAGTACCTCATATTCAGGTCTCTATGCTGTATCCTCTATCCCAGTGAAGTATTGCAGTTCCCCAATGGGCTGCTCTAGAGCTCCCTCATTTTGTTTTTTTTTTAAGGAATATACTTTTTTTTTTTTTTTGCTATAGGGCGTGTGCGCTCGCCAGACAGACAGAGAGAGACAGAAAGCGAGAAATCACCCCCCAGGGGGATGGTCATGCCGCAATCCCTTCTCCATTCTCCTCTCGGGATCTTGGGCACGCACGCACACGCGCCTGGCGTGAGTTTTAAGCCACCAGGTCTGGGACTCGAACTGCGGTCGACTACGTGGGAGTCCAGCGACATAGCCATTACACTAACTGCTGGTTCCCTTAAGGAATGTACTTTTTTTGTTTTTAAAGAATTATTTATTTATTCATTCGTTTATTTTAATTTGACGAGAGAGAGAGAGAGAGAGAGAGAGAGAAAGAAAGGGAACATGAGAAAGCAAACCACCAGGTCCAGGACTCAAACTGGGTTGGTCATGTGGGAGTGTCCAGTGCCTTGCTTGCTGGCCCCTCTTTTTATTTTATTTTTTAAATTTTATTTATTTATTTTTTTTGGAGAGTTTTTTTGCTATAGGGCGTGTGCGCTCGCCAGACAGACAGAGAGAGACAGAAAGCGAGAAATCACCTCCCAGGGGGGATGGCCACGCCACAATCCCTTCTCCTCCATTCTCCTCTCGGGATCTTGGGCACGCACGCACACGCGCCCGGCGTGAGTTTTAAGCCACCGGATCCGGGACGCGAACCGCGGTCAACTACGTGGGAGTCCAGCGACATAGCCATTATGCTAACTGCTGGTCCCCCTCTTTTTATTTTTAAGAGAGATTTTTGCTATAGGGCATGTGAGCTTGCCAGAGAGACAGAAAGCGAGAAATCACCTTCTGGGCAGATGGTCATGCTGCAATCCCTTCTTTTCCATTCTCCTGGTGATTTTGGGCATGCACACACACACACCCTGCATGAGTTTTAAGCTGCCAGGTTCAGGACTCACACTGCGGTTGACTACATGGGAGTCCAGCAATGTAACCATTATGGCATCTTTTGGTCCCTATAGAGCTCTTTTAACCACATTGTCCCTACAGCCTTCCAGATTTCAGTAGCAGGTCCTTTAGGCATGACCAGATTGTTTTCTGATCAAGCGTCATTGCTTTGGGCCTCGTAGCTACTCTCCATGTGAGATGAACAATAATATATCTAAAGAGCTTTAGACACACCTCTAAAACCATGTCCCTTCAGTCCTCTCATTGTCCTGATGATACCTCATATCTGTTTAATAATTGGCCTGAGACAATCTAGCTACACCTCTCCATTGGTTGTTTTTTTTTCCCCCTGAACTAAAGTTTTATTTACAATTTCTAATGCTTTCAAAATTTTTTCATAACACATGATATAAAAAGGTGTTAGCATATTTAACTACAATGGAAAATGTTTTTATACAACTTTTGAAATCACTAATATGCTTATTTCTCCTGTGAATGAGTACAGTGTGCTTCAGTCAACTGTCAACAAGCATCAAGGAGGTTTAAATCTTTTATATTATTGCTAACTAACTTTGTAACAAGACTTTGAATTTCTCCTCCATTGTTTTTCAGACCAAGGACCTGCCATTAGCCACATCCTTTCCTAGTCTTCCTCCCTCAGCTAAGACATAAGGAAAGACATTGGAATTATTTGGGACGAGAAGAGCCCATCTGTTCTTCAAACCCTAATCTTTAAATGTCTGAACATGGATGTCTTATATACTCGAAGTAAACACATACAACTTTTTAAATCAATTTTATAAAAGAACAGGTGGTAGAGGATTCTTGACAAACATGACATTCATTACATAATCTTTTTACATTAGTAGATAATATATTTAAAATTACCCTTAGCTTGTGTCACATGAAATTATTAATGTATCAAAAGCTAAAAAACTATGAAGGTATTAAAAAACAACTTAGGGGCCAACCAGATGGTGTGATGGCTAAGGTGGCTGGATCCCACATGGCTGATTGCATGGTCTGAGTCCCAGACCTGGCGACTTGAAAACCACGCTGGGTGCATGTGCCCAGAGTCCCTAGAGAAGCGTAGAGGAGAGGACTGTGGTGTGGGAGGTGTTTTCTCACTTTCTCTCTGTCTCTCTGTTTCTCTCCAGCAAGCACATGTACCCTATCACAAAACTTAAAAAACAAACAAACAAACAAACAAAAAAAACATTGGGGGTAAATCGTCATGATCTTGGACTTAGCAAAAGATTCTTAAATGTTACACCAAAAACACATGAGCAACAAACAACAACAAAAGTTAAATTAGGCTTGGGACCAGCAGTTAGCTTATTGGCTATGTCCCTGGACTCCCATGTAGTCAACTGCAGTTCACGTCCTGGATCCATCCGGTGGCTTAAAACTCATGCCGGGCGTGTGTGCATGTGTGCCCAAGATCCTGAGAAGAGAATGAAGGAGAAGGGATTGCGGTGTGGCTATTCCCCCTGGGGGGTGATTTCTCTCTGTCTCTCTCTTATTGTCTGTAGCAAAAATCTCTCCAAAAAAAAAAAAAGTTAAATTAGACTTCATCAAATTTTAAAACTTTTGTACAGGATACTATCAAGAAAGTAAAAAACCCACAAGATGAGAGAAAAAGGATTATAAAAATCATATATCTGACAAGGGACTTGTATTCAGAGTATATAAAGAATATTTTGGGAACCAGCAGTTAGTGTAATTGCTATGTTGCTGGACTCCCACGTAGTCGACCGTGGTTCACGTCCCGGACCCGGTGGCTTAAACTCATGCTGGGCGCATGTGCGTGCGTGCCCAAGATCCCAAGAGGAGAATGGAGGAGAAGGGATTGCGGCATGACCATCCCCCCGGGGGTGATTTCTCACTTTCTGTCTCTATGTCTCTCTCTGTCTATCTGATGAGTGCACACTCCCTATAGCGAAAAACCTCTCAAAAAAAAAAAAAAAAAGAATATTTCCAAGTCAGTAGTCAAAAACAACCCAGTTTTAAAAATGAGCAAAGGATCTGAGTGGACTTAAAATTGGTCAATAAACACATTTAAAAAGATTCAAAATCATTAGTCATTAGGGAAGTGCAAGTCAAAGCCATGATAAGATAGATAGCACTTCACATCCATTAGGATGGTTTGAATTAAGTCAGGTAGTAAGGAGACTAGCAGTTGGTGTAATGGCTATGTCACTGGACTCCCATGTAGTCCAAAGCAATTTGAGTCCTGGACCTGGTGGCTTAAACTTACACCATGCGCATGTGCATGCGTGCCCAAGATCCTGAGAAGAGAATGGAGAAGGGATTGTGGCGTGACCATCTCCCCGGGGGGTGACTTCTCACTTTCTGTCTCTCTGTCTTTCTGGTGAGTGCACATGCCCGTGTGGGCGCATTCCCCATAGAAAAAAACCCCCAAAAAAAAAAAAAAAAAAAAAAGTCAGGTAGTGGGGACCAGCAGGTGGCATGGTGGTTAAGGGGCTGGACATTCCCACATGGTTAATCATGGTTCGAGTCCTGGACCTGGTGGCTTGCTTTATTACTTCCTTTCTCTCTGTGTGTATGTCTCTCTCTATCAAATTAAAAATAAATGAGTGAATAAATAAAATTAAATAATTCTTTTTAAAAAAAAGGCAGGTAGTAACATATCTTGGTGAAGATATGGAGAAATCAGAACCCTAATACACTGCTGGTGGGAATGTATAATGGTAAAACCACTTTGGAAAACAGGCAGTTCCTCAGATAATTAAACAGACTTACTGTAAGACCCAGAAATGCTAGTCCTCGCTACCTTGAAAGCATTATGATAATTAACTGAAGACAGACAGTCACAAAAGACCACATATCATATGTGATTTCCCTTACATGAAATGTCTAGAATGTCCTTCATTCTGTTTAGAGACCAGAAGGATGATTCAGGTTTCTGCTCCTTAGGCTTTCCCAGACCTGGCTAAATTGTACCCTATCCTTGTCAATGCCCCTATATATACACACACGTACAAACATGTATACACACATGTATGTATATATGCATACATGTATGTATACACCCATATACACATGTGTGCATACATGCATGTGTATATATATTTTTTACATCATATACTTCCTAGGTTTTATTGTCTGTTCTTCTCAGAACATAAGTGCCTTGAACAAAAGGACTATATATCTCAGTAACAATGCATGGCCTAGGCATAGCATAGATGCTGAGTGTGTGTGTTTGTGTGTGTGTGTGTGTGTGTGAGTGTGTGTGTGTGTAGAGGCATTCCCATGGGATCCCCATGCCATGATCCACCACCATCTCAGCTGGCCTGGACGACAGGCACACATATATATCCCATTGTGTTCAGGCAAGTTCCAGGACCTACCCCATGTGGGTCCAGTTGTGTTACCACCATGCCACTGCCTGGCCTGTAAACATTTAATTCACATATATGTATGTTTTTGTCATAGGACACATGTGCTTGGCAGAGAGAAAAAGAGGGAAAATGAGAAATCACCCCCTTGGGTGGATGGCCACACTGTAGTAGTCCCTTCTCCATTCTCCTCTTGGGATTTTGGGCATGCATGTACACGCTCCTGCTCTGTTCCTCAGGCTGCCAGGTCCAAGATTTGAACTGCACAGTCAGCCATGTGAGATCAGCCACTTTTACCACCATGCCATAGCTTGACCCTAAATAAACTTTTCTTTTTTGAGAGGTTTTTGCTATGGGGTGTGTGCGCTCACCAGAAAGACAGAGAGACAGAAAGTGAGAAATCACCCCCCCAGGGGAGATGGCCACGCCTCAATCCCTTCTCCATTCTCCTCTTGGGATCTTGGGCACGTACGCACACACACCTGGCATGAGTTTAGCCACTGGGTCCAGGTCTCAAACCGTGGTTGACTACATGGGAGTCCAGTGACATAGCCATTATGCCCACTGCTGGTCTCGACCCTAAATAAACATTCTTAAATGCATGCATGAATTTTATGTTAGGCAGTTGGATGACTCAGAGACAAAGGAATAGCAGAGGAATCACCTGGACCTATATTCTCATTCTGACTCTGCCATCTTGGGCAAGATAATTCATCTGTCTCAGCCTTTACCTCTTCATTTATAAGTGGACAAAAGCAGGACAACAGAATGTGCCACCACCTAGAGATACCTAGAGATGATGTGAAGATGACATAGCCTTGAAGTGGAAGCTTTCCTTGCTGTCTCCCCCACCCCCCAGGTTTTTGCCATAGGACTTGCATGCTGGTGGGAGAGAAACAGAAAGACAGTGAGAGGAAAAGTGAGAAATCAGTTTCTAGAGATGTCCACACCACAGTCCTTTTTCTTCTATTCTCCTGGGATTTTGCATATGTACACACATGCCCTCTATTCTCCTGGGATTTTGCATATGTGCACACATGCCCTGCATGATTTTCAAGTCTGGGTCTGGACTTGAACCACAGTCCAGTGCCTTGACCACCATGCCACCAACTGGATCCTCTGCTAGTTTTGAGACCAGTGTGAATGGAGGAAGGGGATGGTGAAGATGAGATTGGGGAGGAGTGCAGGGTTGGATTTTACTTCATGTGTGCTGGAAGTCATTGGGAGGTAGCAAGCAGGACAAGACATCCTCTGATACAATCCCAGTGTATTCTAGGACCTTTCTGGTTGCTTTGAAAACAAGAGAGGAAGCAAAAAGACCAGTTAAGGGCTTTATCAGTGAGCTAACACAGGGATAATGGTAGCCAGGTCTAGAAGGGTAGTGGAGTGGGTAATGACAGTCACATTCAAGACAGCTTGAAGGTGAGGTCTGTTCCATTTGTTGATGGGTGGATTATTCGAAATGGGAGAGAAAGAAGAATCAAGTATGCTTCAAATTTATCTTTTTTTTT